GTGGTTTATTTTTTAAATTAAAACTACAATGACCAAAATATATATTAGACTGGATCTAATATAAAAACTCAGCTGAAAGGCCACCACTCAGATAAAATTAAATGAGCTAGTTCCTTCTCTAACTATGATGATTAACCTGTTTCTATTGGGTACCATGGTGTTGTGAGTTAATGTGCTAGATTGCAAGGTTGGTTCAAACTTACCAGTCACTCATCAGAAACCCTATACAGGGTCACTATGAGTCAGAACCAACTCGACAGCACTTAACAGCAATTAGGCACAATGGGGAATTGTTTTCTTCCTCAAATGTATGGTTCTAATGGTCTTCATGCCGAAAAAGAGACAAATATTAATACTGGAATTTATATTAAAAAGCCACCACAAAATGTATCTGTGTTTACCAACATGATTATAAATCTAGGCTTACCTTTGTAACTTTAAGCTTTTAAATTTACATAAAAATACGGACTCAGATCACTGAGTCTGGAATATGACAAGTTAATATCTGATCTTTGAACTTTTATGGGTCAAAACAGAAAATTTAATCTAGAGTGTTATAAGAACTATGGAAATAAATGCCTTTCTTTAAAAGATACCCAAAATGTTTCTGCTGTGCTCCAAAATACTAAAGTAAAAACAGGAAACTGGGTCGAGATTTTTCCCTCCAAAAAGAAACACGAATCCTTGCATCCTGCTCTAATATGCAAGAGTAGCTCATAAGGTTTTGAGAAACGCTTGTGATGAATCAATTATCTGTTTCCTTGGGATCCTATCCGTGTCACTTTTCAGTGTTTGAACTTAATAATGTCAAGTCTGACTGAAAATAGAACTTTCTCTTCGAAGTGCTTCTTATCTTCCAAATTTGAGATTGCTGGACTTAGGCCAAATGGAGATACTGTTCCCTTATTAATGACCCGCAAAGGTATATTTAAAAAATGACTCATAAAAATTACATTGAAATCTATAAACACAAACCTAGGACAGTGTAATGTTTGGAAAAAGTATGCAATTAAAAATAGAAAAGAAAAAAACAACAAGACTGAAGTGAATGAGGAAGAGAGACATTCTTTGTTGAATTTGTGGATAATGATTTTGACCATTATGGACATGTTAAGAGTTTTGTGACTACTTAGTACAAGATCAACAACAGCATTAAATCTACATGTAAAGGCCACAAGTCTCATATATAAGAGGAAGAGGCAAAGGGCAGAATTCTTAATCTACAGCAATCAATCCTCTCTTCATTACCTCAGTTTCAACTCTCAGGGGTGTGTTTCCCGGCAGCCAGTATCAGGGGCTTCCTCAAATGTCTACAAAATGATTTCAAGTCTCTCACAGCCTGCATCTCTGAGCACAGGTTAATCTAAACTATGGAACTCATTAAAATAGTTGTACATTAAGTTAAAATGTCAAAACATAGAATGTTCAAGGGGGATAAGTCTTTGAATTGAAAAAAAAAACCAACAAGGAAATAAAAGATGTTTCATATAGCTGCCTCTCCTTCTCTTCCTCCACTCTGCGCAGACTCTACCATTTCTGCTATGTGGCCTCCAGAGTGCCCGTTCTTGTGTTTTCTCAAACATTCATCAGTATATTACAGACTGCTTTCTTATCTAAGAATATAACCATCTTAGGAAATCAGCTATGTCATTTTATACAAAAACATATCTCTAATATCTAGCAAAGTACCCAATCCGTAATAGTTGA